AACATTACTCAAAAGTAATAAGAATTTAAAAATTATTAACAATTAAAATCAACCAATAATAGTGTGGGAATCAGTTCGGTGCCCTTATCTTTGTTCACAAACCTACATGTGCTATTACTGATGTATTAGGAAATTTTTTAATTGTTCATAACTGAAACTCAATTTGAAATTATAATTTTCTCATTCTTGATTATAGTTTCACATTATCCTAAAGTATCATCCCCTTAAATTTTCTCTTATCTATTAACGAGCATTGAATATCACTAACTTGTACATACTTAAATATATTTTTTGAAGGATACAAAGAATAATAAAACTTGATGGTGTTTAATAGCACCAATGAGTCCGAGTATTGAAATAAGTATTAAAATCACCCCACATGCTAAAATACCTCCTATTATAGGGAGATTTGTAACTAATGCAGATGCTCTTCCATAAACAGCTACGCCGATGAGAATAAATGCAACCACCTAAAATTTTAGCAATTTAAAAGTACTTAGTTGTTTACTTCCTATGGTTTAAAAGCAGACTAAAGAAACTAATTTTTACATGTCTATCCTTTTTCATACATGTTAAATTGCTGTCAGAGAAATAGATTATAAAATATGTTAATATTCTTGAAGAAAATTACTTCTATTAATTCATGACAACTAAATAAATAGTTAAATATCTGAAATTGGTAGAAGATTCTGTATGAGATATATGTATTTATCTAATACAAGCTAAATGGCTTCTTGGTGACAGAAAATAAAAGAATAAAATCGTTTCCATATTCGCCTCATATATATTAATAACTATCTGAAAACCCATAAGAAGTTGCGATAAAATCGAATTAAAGCGAAAGGGTTCAGTTTTGCATAGAGTAGACAAATCTATGCCAGGAAGTACAGCTTACGATATAAAGGATGTTTAGTGCTGTCAAAGCATTTTTGGAACAAGTGAAACCGCCACACATCTTCGTATAGTAGCTTTGTTCTCTTCGGCGTATTCACCCGCAAGGGTTTGTCGTTTTGTTGACTCACAGTAATCTAAGAATTTGCACACTTTATTATTAATACACACGAATTAACAAGAAATATGCATACGCGATCAACCCTTGTTGCAGACAGTTTACGACTGCTCGCACTGCTACAGTTCGAGTGCAATCGACTTCGATTTCTCGAGATTGCGTTTTACCCGCGCAAGATAAATATTGTACTTAGAATTTCACAGGTGTAGAATTCACAGGTGACGATACACATTGCGTTCCAGTAATTAAAACGTCATTCGCAGTGCAATATATTCATTACTTTAGGTTGTTTATATAAATTACTTAAATTTTTGAACTCCATTTTGAATTACCCATGTGTGCCATTGCAATATCAACAAACAAATATATTTGATTATAATTTGGAAAGGAAGTACGTTTTTAATTATATTGTGTTAACAGCGTGAGTTTTCCTTAAATTTATGATTTCTCGTGATATTATTTAAGAACTGAGTTTAATTATTGATTCAATTGGTTAATTTTTATGGTAATTAATCGTCTTCATCGTTAGACTTTAATATTCACTTGAATTGTTCGATTTAAAAAGTTTTCAAGATATAAAATGATTTTTATTGTACCGATTGTTGCACTGACAAATAAAATATGACTACTGTATAATTAACTCGATTAATATATTCTTAGAGATAAATTATATATAATAAATATAGATAAAATGTATTTGTAAACAATTAATTAATACTATAAATGGAAGTACTCACGAAATGAAGTTGCGGGTAACGAAATTATACTAAATTAATGATAATTTGAACTTCTGGATTCTAAGACTCAACGCAGAGTGTTCTTTGCTTTTCCAAACCACATTTAGACATTTGAGCGAAATAAATATTACGGTCATAAATATTTCGTGATAACAGGTGCCGAGATTAAATTCTTTTGATGCGAAGCGCAAATTAAACGCATCAGATAACGCATAGGTGTGTTTTCATCATAGAACGTATAATTTTTAAAAATATTTGAATATTACATATTTTATCTTTTATTCATACCGTAAATTAAAACTGACACAATATTCACCTTTAGTATATCTACTTAATAAAATAGTTGTTATGTATTAAAAAATACTTCAAGCTAAAGTTACACTACAAAAACTTAGTAACAATTGTAAGTATGATATCAACTAAAAAAGTCGAATCTTAGTAGAATATTGTTGTAGGATTTGTTGTATAAAAAGCCTTTAAATTGTATTTGGTAGTTTATAGCAAATAATTACTATTTGTAATTTTAGTTTAGAGTTCCTCTTTTGCTGACATTTCTCGTCCTTTTGCTTCTCATTTGCGTTTCGTCGTGATAAAATTTGAAGAGTTTCTTACGAACAAGGAAGTGGGGATCGTCTGAAATTTGATTACGATAACAGATCTGCTGATAAACTGATGTATAAAATCTAGTACGTCGTGATTAAACTTCCATTCTAACTATAATGTGTTAAAAAGAGGCTCGAAGAACGCCAGCTCGTAGCTGTTGTACTTTCTGGTGGCATCGTCACGTTCCATCGCTATCTCTGTAAGCATTGCATTAGTGGGAATCGCACATAATTAATCAGAGTCCCGTGAAAATCTTCCACAATTCGTGGAAACAAGTTCTATAATTGCATCATGCAAACACACTGTTGTCTCGTTTTTCATGACAAATGAATGTGTTCGATATAAACACGAAATTTGAATGTTTGACACAAAATATAAATTGTAAAGATCGCATATTAAGGTATTCCTCATTTGTTGTAGTCCAGTATAAGAAGAAATAAGAAATATGGACGAATCGCGCATTAAGTGGTGGCCGCAATATTTAGCAGCGATTACAGGTAATAAAGTTTATTAAAATTTATACTTTTTTATAGTAAGACAAATATTACCTCATAAACTGAATTATTATTATCAGTTAAGTTTCATAAGGCTAGGCTGCGGATTTGTATGTAAAATACTGTACATCAATTGCTAAATTGAAATTTCTGCCATGCATTAATCATTTTAATATATTGAAAATAATTCACCGATATTTTTAAATCATGTTTTATCTTTCTATTATTTTAAATTTCTATTTAATATAAATAATCTATTTAAAAGGACTGAGCACTATGTCCACGACACACTCATTTAACATATTTTGTCTAAGAACTCCGAAATTAAAAATGGGTAGCATATTTCTGCAGGTAAAATATATGTATTTAATTATTTAAAAGAAAGATTGTAGAACTATATAAATATGAACTATATAAATATGATGTGCTGCATTAAATGCAATGTGGGGGCAGTATTTTAGTCATTTTCTAATAGACTAGTTCCTTTATCATCTAAATAAAATTCAAGTTATTTAGTCCAGTTCTAAAAAAGTTATTGCGTTTTAAAAGGTGTACGAAAACTTTTGTGGACCACTGTATGCAACTAAAGGGATTGAAATCAATTAATTTATGCAATTATTTTAAAATACGTGAAGGGAAGAAGTTTAGATGAATAATGCAGTTTGCAATATTTTTTCAATATGAAGAGATGCTAGCAGAAAAATTGAACAGTTAAAAGTGCAAGCAAACAGTCTGATTTATTATGTGACGACTTCTGTAAGACCTTGCTTGGTGAAACCACGTGAATGATTATCATAATGCGCGTGAGAATATTGAACGATTTGTTGATAAATGTAAACAAATGTTTTGTTTATTTTCAAAATAAGAACAAAAGAGGAATTCACTGTTATTAAATCGTGTTGTTATTCTAAAGCAGTATTCTAAAGAAACGGAAGTGGTTAATCTTATAAACGATTTTAATGGAGAGAAATAATTTATCATATTTATTAATAATTATTCTTGAGACATTTTGCTCCCTATTCTCTAATATATGAATGATTATTTTGGTTTCACAATAATGTACAAACATGAAAGCTGTTATCACAGATGTTGAAGTATTTACCAACGTTACTGGTGCAACAACAGCCTCCTACTATTTGTTCGAACAATTAAGCGCATTCTTAGCTGCCGGGAAAAAACGTCCGAATTTATTGGGTACTTTTCAGCGAACGTGTCACTTTCTTTTCATGGATTCATTAAGCTGAATAACTGCTGTTGCAAAAACTCATTTTTCATTACAAATGAATGTCGCCAAAGATTAGATCCTTTTATTACAAATGGAAGTCGCGATCCTCTCCCGTTCTCCGGTAATTCGTTATGTGATTTATGATTACAAACGTGACGAAATTGTGTCGGAAGTGTCATGTTTGAGAAAACTGCATTCGAAAATTAGTCAAGTGTACTACTTAGACTATGGGTCTTTACGCATTTACGATATTCTTTAAAGTACAAGAAAACATGTATATTAACAAAGATTGATCGCATTTTTCTTACTGTATTTGATTAAAATTAATAAAAGCTTTATTCATTCAAAATGTGATAAATACAAAAATTATTTATTTATTAAGTAATACCTAGGTACGGAGTTTGTTTCCGAACGCTTTCGAATTCTAAACCGCATTAATCTTTTTGTTCGCAGTAATACGTACAAAATTTCTTATATGGTATTAGGGTTTGAGGGTAATCAATTTTGATTGTTATGCAAAACACATCATTCTTCAATAAAATGCTCAAATGATAAGTTAGGATAAATTAAAATAAAGAACGATTGAAGCATGATACTGTAGTCATCGGCACATTTACCCTATATCGTTAAAAAATATTGCAAAAGGTTTCGCTCGAACTTATTACATTTGAACAACGTTTTTTTTTTATACGAATCGACGTGCGGCAGATCGTTACAGGTCTCTTGTAATGAATTGACCCAAAAATGAGCATGCAGAGCGGGGAAAAGGGTGTAAAACAGACGCGGCAGTTGCTTCTGTTGTCGGTTGTAAATTTTTAACCGAGTTAATAGTGTGCTCGTTGAGTACTGCCTATGTACACCCGCTTAATATTTGATTGCATATTGAGCGACAATGTTTGCAGAAGTCTCTACTTCAGCATTTTTCTAGAAACAAAAGGTAGGGAACCTCTGGGCTCCTTCGTGTTCTTATCTTCTGACTGCACATGCGCCGTATTTGGCACAATTTGTTTCAGTGCAGCGATGCACCTAGATATAGTTAAAACACCGTGCGATAAGTCAATTCGTATAATCGTTGCAATTCAAGGTGACTGCATAATATCTAACCAGATGATCAACGTGCTGGTGCTATAAAGAGCTACCGAGGTTATCCCGTAATGCTTTGTGCCAGGCTTTTCATTTCAATCTTTGGAAAGACTAAAGACTATATAAGTCAGGGCTTCAAACTTACGTAACAATGATTCTATTATTGGTTTTGTAAATCAATTGAGTTACGTTGAGATTATTGTAATCTCTCATTTGGTTTTATAGATACTTTGCAATAAAAGTTAGGTTCGATTGATAAATAATATTTAATCTCTTTTACGAAATTCGCAGTTTATGGAAGGAAAGAAATTAAAAGACTCCTCAATTTGTTATATTATGAATGTGATTTCGTTTTATTTTGCTTAGCAATATTTTAAGCACGAATACGTGAAATCTTACGTATTTATTTTATAAATATATTCTTTCTTATGAATATTTGCCCGACTTTTGATGCACTCAGTAAATAAAGTCCATCAATCATCAAACAAGAGTGAATTATTATTATCAGTGAATTACTTGTAGTTCATGGCCAGGAGAACTTTCTTTCTCTATTATTGTTATTTCTACAAAGTTTTCCCTTTTTGCTTATACAGAAGTTATGGCTTTGTTGTAAATTGTTAATTTGGTTTTTGTTTGCAAGATTAGTATCGTCCAGCGTAGTTAGCGATTCGTTGTTCGTTCGATTGAAAGTTTCGAATAGAGCAATTTTATATGTCTAATTTTTGTTTAAAAAAACAGCCACCTTATCCATGGCAACATCTGGAGCTCACATAGGCTGGACATCACCGACATTACCGCAACTGAAATCTCCGGATTCTCATATTTTATTGACTTCGGACGATGCATCGTGGATCGCCTCGTTCGTCCTCCTCGGTTCGATACCGGGCAACGTGTTCGCAGCTTTCATAGTAGATTGGCTCGGTCGAAAGATCTGCCTGCTAATAGCTGGAGTACCACTCACAGTCGGCTGGATCCTAATCCTGGTAGCCTCGAGCCCGTACGTCTTATATATCTCGAGATTCATCAGCGGATTCGGCCTCGGCGTGGCGTACGTCGTGTGTCCTATGTACATCGGTGAGATCGCCGACAAGGAGATCCGGGGGTCCTTGGGGTCTTTCATTAAACTAATGGTGACCTTCGGCGAGTTGTACGCCCATGCGATTGGACCTTTTGTCCCCTACAACTGCTTGACTTACAGTTGCGCTGTAATTCCTATAATCTTCTTCCTGACGTTCACCTGGATGCCCGAGTCTCCGTACTTCTTGCTGATGAAGAACCGCGAGGACCAGGCTATGAAGAGTCTGAAGTCGCTCAAACGGTACGCAACGGAAGAGCAATTGGAAGAGGATATGGAGCAAATACAGAAGACCGTGATCCGCGATCTCACCGATAAAGGACACTTCTGGGACCTATTCAACACACCTGGCAATAGGAAAGCTGTGATGATCAGCTTTGGTCTCCAGCTGGTGCTCCAATTCAGCGGCATAGCTGCTGTAGAGTCGTATACTCAGGAAATTCTCGAGGAGGCCGACACGGAATTATCCGCTGGGATAGCAGTGATCATTTTAAGTATGTTGCAACTGATCGCTGGCGTTGCAGCCGCAGCTTTGGTAGATAAATTAGGTAGGAGACCGCTGCTTCTGATCACGACTCTACTAGGTGGATTGTCTTTAGCCGTGGCCGGTGCATTCTACTTTCTCAAGTTCCAGATGTACATCAATATGTCTAACTTTGGCTGGATTCTTCATGCCTCTGTAATATTCTACGAACTCATTATAGCGTTAGGCTTAAATCCATTGTCCTACATGATGCTCGGTGAGCTGTTCCCTACAAACGTCAAAGGGGCAGCTGTGTCCTTAGCTAATGTCTGGGCTTCCCTGTGGGCATTTTTCGTCTCGAAAATGTATCAGGTGATTTCCGATTCGTGTGGAGTCTATACATCCTTCGGTTGGTTTGCTGTTAGTTGTTTCCTTGGTATCGTTTTTATCTTCTTCGTGGTACCGGAAACCAAAGGAAAATCGTTGCTAGAAATACAAGAGGATCTAAACTGTAAGAAGGGAAAACAACGGAAAGGGCATATGAAAAAGAAAGAAATTCAGGTATGTACTCTTGCTTAAGTTTTTTAAGAGTGTGTCTTTCTTTTAATGATGGTGGTCTGGATTTGCAAACGTATCTCGAAAAAATCAATAATAGATTTCTACAGTTTTTAAAATAATTTACATTCGAGATACAAAATTCTTTATAGAAATCGGAGACTATGGTTTTCGAATTTATTTGTCTAAAAACAAATGCGATTCTGATACTGGACAAAATTTTGTATTTATCTCTTCAGTGCGTAAGTTGGGAAATTCATAAGAAATATTGTTAGCCTTTTGTGACCTTCCTAAATTTCTTCTAAAGCAGTGCAACTTAATAATCTCCTTTATTTTAGATTTTATCCAACAAAGCAGAAATCTATGTTTCTTATAAATTCGTAAACAAAGAATGGATGTTTTGCATTCTAGTTACAGTGCATTGTTAACATTTGTTAAGATATAACAATTTTGTACACTAACTAATAAGCATCAAAATTAGCTCTGGTGTTTTGTAGCACGATGAGTTATAATTAGACTGCGAATTTTATGCATTTATGACAAAAATGAATTGCAAGGTCATTAGAAGAAGTTGTGGATATTGCTACATTATTTTCAACTTATTATAATTATTAAATGAAGAAAGACATTTCCCTCTAACTTTTGTGTCTTATACTTAACTTAAGCAATTTGTATTTTCTATACGGATCTGCAGGCTAGTTAGAGTAAATCGAACATTCATTTTCGAAATTGAACACAGACCACCATTTTGACTGGAATCTTGAAAAATCTAAGCAATTGGATATTAAACAAGTGTTTTTCATGAGTTTCTAAAAGTTTTGCAGGTGTCAATTATATCTGATATTTCTGCTTTAATATTACTTTATAGCCAGAGTATTTTTAAATATGTTCATCCTTGAAGTTTTTTTCTCTTCCAACTTAGAATGTAAGAAGTGTTACTTTTTAAACGAGGGCCCGTATCTCACTTGAAAAAATTTGCTTCGGTTAGAATGACAACATTTTTCTGAAGAAAAAACAGTAAATTTATCAAAACAGCATCGACGTGTTTTGCGTCATACTAAGAAGTTACTGAACAAACATTTATACTTACAAATTAATATACGTATCTGCATACAGGGTGTTTTGTTTATCTTGCAAACTTTAATATGTTTGTTGCTTTTGCGGGTACACAAAAGTAGTAGCAAGAGAAAGTCGTTGCATGTTTAATTCTTCTGTAAAATTTTTATTATTTTGCATGTCGGTATGACCTCCATTGTTTTCAAGACATTTTCGTATACGAACCTGAAATGATGATCTAGCACGTTCGATTATAGTTTAACGGTTCTTAGTTTCCTTGAAATCTTTATGAGATTTTTACAGAGGTTTATTTAAGATTTGTTTATCAGCTGTAACAACACGACGATGAAGATATGTCATTGTTATTCAATAATTATCTATGATCTTGAAACCTCGAAAAAAAAACGAAAATTCGAAGATTCGTCTAAACCAAAAGACTTTACTTCAGCGAAACACCATGTAGATAGTTATATGCAAATGGTGTGCTCCGTTTGTATGATAAAATATGGTAAAATGTTTGCTGATCTTGTCAGTGATAGCCGAAGCAATTTTAACCGAGAATAGTGCGATTTTCTCCATGTTTTCTTGAAATTAATTCCAGATCGGAAGAATTTTTCGAAATCATGCGATAGTATGTGTGCGCTAGTCAGGATTCCGACCGCAAAGAGCAAACTCGCATGACCATCTTCTTTCCCTTTCAGGCAGGGTTAAACGTTGAGACTGATAGATATTAAATTAATCGTAAGCTATATATTTATTTACTGCCAAATGATGTTACATGGTGACAGGAACAGTACTGAAGCAATGTGATAACACGATTTTATAAACGATGCGAAACTCCATCGATTTTTTCAAGTCATCGAAGCGAAACAAAATTATTCAATCCGTGGATCACCGTAATTACTCGAAGAATATATATTTTCGATTCGATGAAACGTCAATTAGCATGACGGTCGATACTCTCAAACGAAACTGATTATAATGAAACGAACGAAAGGTGGTACACGGATTAAATATATCAAAGCTCTTAGGGAAACATAATTTCCTTGTAACTAGTTTGGCGATTACGAACATCTAATATCCCTTTGAGGCAGGGTGCAAGAAACATAATTAATAACGCGATTACGATTAAACGTTATCAAAGTGCGCCGTGTATTATCGCGAGTGTGTAAAATTGCGCGCGCTAATGGCCCTGTTGCAAAAAGGATTTCTGTGAGCACCGTAGCATGATTCATTTCGTACATACGTATACACATCTCGGACATATTAATGCAAATGATCGACGACAGAAATAGCTGCAACATCGATCCGACCATAGTGAAGAATATACAACATTTCTCTTTGATATTTCTGCAGTTCTTCAAAATATTATCAGCAACATGGATTCGAATGTTCTCCTGATCATGCTACGGAATATTTGCTATTACACTAGAGATTTTAACGACTTTTAGTCTGAGTTACATTGGAATAAGCCAATTTAAATGTTCCCTACGTATAGGAACTGATGTTTCTAAGATCTTAATTGTACATTGCATTCCTCTCATATAATCGCCCCCGCTTAATTCGCATAATCCGATTATAAGGTATGGCGGATCTGTTTTTGCGTTCCTTTCGGTCGTTGTCGGCTCGCTGCTGCATCAACAAAGGCAAATCGCTTTGATGTAGTAGCCCGAGCGATGTAATTAGACATGAAGAGGGTCGACAGAGCGCGATTATATGAAATGAATACAGTGTTTATTATATAATGCGTTTTAACTCAACTATTACGTTCACGCAATTGCACGACTCTCTACAATTCCCTTTCAAGCAGGGTGTGAAATAATCGAGACGCAACGTCGTTCAGATTTCTACCATGTAGAAGTTTGCAATTTATAATGTTAATAAAGTTTACTGTTTAAGGGAAGCAATTAAATCATCGTAACTCTTGTTATTTATACCTTCAACTTGTTCCGTTACGCTTAATGTTTCTGTGCATTTCTCTGTGGAATTCAACTGCTTTCTACGACTTTGTCATTTTTTTTTATGTTTATGTCCAAAATCAGTTTTGTCTTTTTTTGTCTTTCGTTACTCTCAGTTGTTGAAATATTAAATGGAAAGTGAAATCTTCAACTTGTACTACAGATCTTTATACAGTTTTCTATTTTCATACTCCATTTCATCAAAATTAAAACAAAAATAAAACAAAGATATAATTAATTTTATTAACGTATAATGTTTTCGTTGTTTCATTGTATTCGTAGCAGTTTTATGAAAAATGGTGAAAATGAAAATGCGAGTATGGACAACTAGCATGTATATTTTTTGCATTATAATACCCATTATACATAAATGTTATTACAATATATAAACATAAATCTTAATATCTCATTCATTAACATCTTGCAACGTTGTGATATATATGATATATATTTTGTAGTCAAGATAATTATTACGATTTATGGCTGTAAAATCTTTTCTTTACGCCCTATATATTAAATACTTAACTTCGCTTGGGGTCGAGTTTCGTAATCAATAATAATTCTCTTGAGTAACGTAATCGTGCCTTACACACTTACGGGAATATATACACTCAAGTGAAAATAAAAAATGACACAATTCAAGAAGTTTTTCTATCAACGTTTCTAAATTTTATTATATTCGTACATTCTTCGTTATAGAATTTTTATAATAACAAGATATTCACATCTACGTTATTTAATATCTGGCTAATATTTAGAATATTTTGCCGTGTGAAGATCAATATGAAGTTCTGCTTTTCAAGCAGCACGATAATGAAAATATTGGCAATGAAATAAATAGTTGTGCAACATAAAACAAATTAGTATTATTAAAAATAGTAAATTTTCCACTGCTTTCCGAGTGTATATGTCCCCCCGAAAAATAATGGTCAATATATGCATGTGTCACGTACGTTATTCATTCACACGATTCATTCGGTTGTCATTACGATTTTGAACTCGTTTTCTGATCGACATTTGGTTAGAGAACGTGTAACGTGTTGCGTAAGCGTACAATAGTTAGTGTCCTATGTTTCATTTATTATAACTGTAAAAAAAAATAATTGCGAGGTTATTACGATCAGACTGGGGATTTTTATGCAAAATAAAAATTGTCTGTATCGATTGCATGAAATGGAAACTACATAACAAGTTCTTTCTTTCTTTGGTCGATTCAATAGATGAAAACTAATACATTGGCATTTTAAAATTCTTTTAATCGTTTTACAATTTTCAATCGCATCTACCCAATTTTTTCCATAAATGCATAAAATCCGAAGTCTAATTATGATTTTTGTAACTCGACTGCGCTTAATTACCCGCTAGGTATAGAGTATTGATTATATCTGTGCTGTCTAACAATTCGTAAAATCCGAAACTGATTCTATCGTGACTTAAGAGAATACTTTTACATGAAACAAATCTAATATCCTTTGCACCTCTAAACGAACAATAAGAAAAATCATTTTCCTTTGAAGTTGTTCTTCATAAATTCTCTAATTCTCTCGAAAGGAAGACACAAGGGAGACGAGAAACAGTGTGAAAATTAATCACCTCGCAATTAAAAAATGCTGTAGACACTTGACCTTAGCTTTATTGTTCGTTCATTAAATTCATTTCCTCTGTAACATATCGCTCGCAATGCATCCTAATCAATACATCCACGTGATCACACTTCTGCGACGTTTCTCATTACACAGAAAACACGTATGCAATTAGAGTCGCATCACACTTTGATTGTCGAAGGATAAAGTGACGCTGCGCGCAATTTCATTTCAACACAACAGGTATACTCTTTTTCGTTTTGGCACACTCACATTGTTCTCGGGTAGCTGTCAAATAGTCAATCGAAAAGCTACGACCGTTAACCTCCACAATGTCGCAACGATTCTTAGCTTTATTCTTTCGCAAGTTTGTTGTCAACGTAGGAATAAATCGTGACGAATCATTACAATTTTCTCTACGTTTACATCGTTTTTCCTCAACAATCACTATCCACCATACACGATAACAGGCTTGATAATTTTCGTTAAAATTCTTTCGACATTACTGTTTTTAGAAGAAGATTAGCTTATAGAAATTACGTTCTTTAGGTTCGCTATTCGCACAGAAAGTTATGGCAAGATTAATCTCCTTTTAAATACTTCGCTAAATGAATCAGTGATGGGGCTAGAATTCTCGTGAAACAGTTGTTTCTGTGTTTAATCGTCAGCTGTTGCTTACAATTAAAAAACAGTCGTCAAAGGATATGTTGTACTTACGGTGTAAGAAGGAGAGGAGGACCGACTTTTTTTATCACCACTCCTGTGATCTTAAACGCTTACTTTTGATATAGTCCGCTAGGTGCTCTACGAAACTATCTGTACTATCGGTGAGAGTTTTTATTGTGTATGCGTGTGTGCGGTACCGATAATATGTAATTCTAAAAAGTAATGTATCGATGAGCACTGATAGAAACATTAGCACCTCTCGCGAACGCTAAACTTTTAGCGTCACAAAAATGTTGTGCTGGAGCAACCGTAGTCGGTAAACATCTGCTTCTTACATCATAGTTGTAGTACACAAAATCGCTAGATTTGTTTTACTAACAATACACAGAAAAGATTTCATGTTTCTTCTGTTAATTCCTTTTCAGCTGTACTTCGGGTGAGAGGTTAAACCTTTGCACTATGATTTCTTTCACGACTGTGTTGACTAGCACTTCTTTGTAATCAGTAAATTTCTAAATGAGAAAATAAATTCAAATCACTTACACGCATCAAATTAAATAATCTTTGATTTAATGTTTAAATTTCATAAGCAAATTATGGTATTCGATCTCGATTTAACACTTTAACTGCCATCCCAGCAGCCTTAAAAATTTCATCAAGTTGAAGTATTTTATTTAATCAAATTAAAATTGAAAATGACAACAATTAATTCGTCAACATTCTTACATTTTCATGGATCCTAATCAAATTAGGATATAATAGATCGACGTAAAAATTAATTTTCAAATCTGAGCAAATAATTCTGCAGTCGAAGTGTCTGACATATTATTATAGTGCAAGGGGTTAATACTTTCTCTAATAGAACAAGACAATTTTTGTTTCACGAATGTTTTTATTAACTTTCATTCTTAGACTTTGATATCAGAAGAGCCTCGTTTTGTCTCGATTTAGAAGAAATGAATATTATTCATATGTAGTAAATCAATTACGTCGTTAAATCAATTATCTCATGATTACGAGTCTAACTCATTGTTATAGCGCAAGAGTGGTTAATCAATGTATACCTTAATTCTAGAACAAAAATCTTCTGAATCGAGTGATAAAATGAAACAAATCAATAGATACAATTAAGTGAATTAAAATCATAGTGGCGTAAGTGGCGAAGATTTAGACTTACGTATGTCTTAGAACGTAATCTATACATGCCAATGTGTTAAAAATGCAAGTGAAATGAATTTTAAATTTACTAGAAATTAACTTAACTCTAAATTACCTTATCACAGTGAGGAAAACAGAATTGTGCAGTATTACCATTGAATTACCCAGGGAATTATAATTATAAAGTAATTCAATTACATTAGAATTCAATCACATTGTAATTCGTAATTGCAGTTGAAGTACAATTACAAAATACTAAATAATTAAATTACATTAATTACGAATTACAATGTAATTGAATTAAGATTACGAATTACAACGTAGTTTAATCACAATGTAATTGAAATACTGTATAATTGAAATACAATGTAATTAAATTGCGAAAGTCAATTTAAATGTAATCAAATTAGCACAACTCTGGAGGGAGATGTGACTAACGCCAATATGATTCTAACCCCATTCAATTGTAAGTGCGAAGCTTTCTGTTTGACCCGAATGTGTGTCGTTGAATTTTCGAAAAATTCGATCGGAGGAATGGATGTACACGAATAGAGTTCCTACGTCACTGTATTGAACACATGTTAATCCATATAGTAGCTTTGGGAACACATGCCGAACCAGGGGCGTACTATCTCTTCCGTCTTACACGCGAACTACTCATTCATCGGAAGAAAACTTTATCAGCAGAGACTTCTCGCCTTAGGCCAAATGATTTTTTGCGCCTCCGCGATACTCTAGAACCGAGAACGTTAAGAGTGCTTTAAGAGGATTCACGTACTTAGGTACAAATCCGTATCGCTCTTGCAGACCATTCGCATTAAATGGTGCTACGTGGAATACGAAACAAGGTTTTCGTTCCGGTTGGAAAAGCTGCTGACAACGTTCGTTATGTTCGCAACATACTTCGCGTTACCTAAGCTTCCAGGGTTCTTCCTCTGTTCTCCGAATGGAACGGACAGTGGGACTAAGCTATCGAATCATGCGAGACCAGTTTCGTATGCTCTTTCCAGCGATTTGGTTGAGCATGATGTTGATATTGTCCGAGCTGTTTATGCAATCAAACAGATTTACTTCCGATGCTGGGTGTGTTTCCAGGTAGCCAGAAATTTGTTTGGAGCACTGTTCCTAACAGTATGCTCGCGAAATTGGACGCACGAATATATACAGCACGTTATGAGAATTGTGTGTCAGACCTGAGCACATTTGAAATGACATTATTTGAAATATTCTCTCAAACAACATGTTATTTTATTTCATAACTATTTCCATGTCTATGATCGCTTTTCAAGTAACATTATTTGGAATATTATTTTAAATAATATGTTATCATATTTTATAATAATTTGAAATAATTATTTGAGACAATAACGTGATAATTGAGATAATAATTTGAGATAACAAGTGTGGAATTCTTCTTGAAAATTGTATAGGGATGTAATTATCAATTGTGTGAGATAACAACTATTATCCTATGACAAGAAACATTTTTCTAAAGAATGACACTTCTCACAGGCAAAACTCTCTTAAGGATGAACTTTTTACAGAGG